TCTTCATTTTTTCATATAAAATTCCGTGTTGATCAAAAATTTTTTATTAGTGAGTGACACTTGACCCCCTGTAGATCTGCAATGTCCTGCGACTGTTATACTAGTATAATGACATAATTTGTCAACTTTTTTTAGAATTATAGAATTTATTCTGTTATAACAACATGTCAGTATAATGGGAGAACCAATCAAAATCATTATCTATTTTTAAAATTGTTATAAAAGGATGATGTTTTTGACATAGCTGAAAAATTGTCTAAAAAAATAAAAAAATAAAAAATATAATAAATCATAAATATTTTTTTTCAAAAATTTTCAAAATATCTTTAATTGTTAAAACCTACCTTATAAAAATATTTTACAATGTCATTATATTGTATTGAAGATAATTCTCAAGAAAATTTAGCATCAACAGAAATTAGTTCAGTAGCTTCTACTAGCACCACCACATCTAATAAAAAAAGCTTTATTTGGAATTACTGTGAAGATTTAAGACCAGATGGATGGAAATGCATTGTTCGAAAAGAGAATGGAGAGACTTGTAATCATTATTTTCCTATGAGGGTTACAAAAGGATCCACCACTAATACCATTTACCATTTACTAAGTCAACATGGTATAATAAATCCAAAAGCTGCAAACAGGGTATTTATGATTAAATTTAATTGTGTAAAGTATTATAATCATAATTTATTTAAATATAACATTCTAACATTCTATATCACACACAACCATAGTTTGTGAGTGCAAACATGGACGCAATTCAAGCAAACACAACTAATTCACCATTAACTGATGTTCAAAGCAATTTTATTACAAAAAACCTGATTGAGTTCTTAATAAAAGATTCAGTATCTTTCTACATTTTTGAAAAGTCCTAGCTTTCAAAAATTCATCCAATCTTTGAATCCCAGTTCAAAATTCCAAACACAAATCTAATTAAGGAATCAATAATGCATCTATACAGTATTTCATTTGATGAAATTAAAATCAAACTTTTTAATAAATTTCAATTTGCTTGTTTGACCACAGATTTCTGGACTGCTTCACATCAGAAAAAAGGATGGGTATAACTTGTTCCTGGCTCTCTGAAGATTTTGAACCAGTTGAAGCTCTTTTAAACTTGTTTCACGTTCCCCATCCACATACAAACTTGGTTATAAAATATCTAATAGAGGAAGAAATATTAAAGTGGAATTTAGAGGGGAAAATTACAGCTATTACTACTGATAATGATAGTAATATGGTTTTGGGATCTAGATTATTAAAAAATTCATTAAAGATCGAGAGAATTTCTTGTGCAGCTCATACTCTACAACTCTGTGTTAAAAAAGCACTTAACTGTGACAATAAGATTAAAGCATTGGTTTTAAGGACAAGAAAACTTGTCTTATTTTTCAACTCTCCAAAATAGTTGGAGGCACTGTTCAATGTGCAAGGAAGATTAAGAGAAGATTATCCAAAAAATCTAAAACCAATACATGATGTAGCCACACGTTGGAATAGTACCTATAATTCATGGGTGAGGTTATTGAATCTCAAAAAAGCAATCATTATCTTAAAAAGTCATATGATACTGGATGGTGATCCTGAAATTAGAAAACGTGGGAGAAAATTACAAAAAATCATTATTAACAGAAAGTGAATGGGAATTAATTAAATAACTTACTGAAGCACTTAAACAATTTGACTTAGTAACCACAACACTCAGTGGTAGAGATTTCGTAACATTATCTTTAGTTGTACCACTGATATTTTTCCTAAAGAAAAAATTCTTAGAATTAGTGACATATTATATAAATGATGAAAATTATGACAATGATGAATTTGAAAATGAAAATATTGAACCAATAGATAGCAGTGAACTTTTAGAAGAAAGTGGTGGTGAAGAAGCTACACTACTAGAAATGGAAGAAGATGAAATAGAGTTATTAGAAGAAGATAATGGGGAAAGAAGAAGAAAAAAAATTAATATATCAGTACCTGTTGAAACAAGGGGATTATTTGAAAAGGTTATTTTAACTATGTATAATTCATTAAATAATTATTGGTCAACTCCTTCATCCCTAGCTGCTTTTGCATCAACTTTAGACCCACATTTTAAAGCACTAAATTTTTTTGGTGTTGGAGAACGTGAGGAAATCAAAAATTTGTTAAAAGATGAGTATAATCTATTAATGCAACAACAACAAGAGGAAGAACAACAAATTAGCAACTCCATTCAATCAAGAAGTGTAAGATTACCACTATGAACTAGTATTGGTGGACAAAGTAACGTTTTTGATGATTTATTTGATAATCTGCGAGAGCTAGAACAAGGTGAATTTGAGAAATATTTTAACTTACCAGTGGCATCAAGATCTGTTGATCCTTTTCTATGGTGGAATGAAAGAAAAAATGAATTGCCTATAATGTCAAAATTGGCAAGAAAATATCTTTGTATGAGTGCAACATCAGTTCCTTCAGAATGTTTGTTTTCTGATGTTGGAAATCATATAACACCCCATAGAAATAGACTCTCACCTGATTTTATCTCTAAACTTATATTCTTAAAACGAAATTCACAAGAAATTAATATATTATCATTTGTTTAATATTTTTTTTTTTGATATCAAAAATTTTCAATATTAATATGTATTTGTATTTCTTATTTTATTTTAATTGTCATTATATTAATAAAATAAATAACCAATATTGACAAACAGACCTGTGTAAATCTTCTCTCTTAAACCGTCAGGCATCTTTTCTTTTAATTCCTTGCACATTATTTCAGAATTGGTTGGAGATTACGATTATATATTAATATTATTATTATTAAATTTTTATTGTCTTTGTTACACAATATGGAATGATATTCATGATATTCGGATAATATTCAGATATTCAAATATCATGTCGATCATTTTATGACATTCAAGTATCATGAATACAAACACTAGACTAAGCTAGACCTACTTACAGATTATTTCAGAGGAAGGCATTCCTGTAGTTAACTCTGTAGGAGATCGAATAAAACTTTACGGTTAAAAGTTAAAACTGGCTGCGGTATAAAAAAACATTACGATCATTTGTCATATAAAGTAATTAATAAATTTCATTTTGTCAAAGGATTAGAATAAAAATCGGGCCATTTTATTATCTCAAATTGCAAATTAACTACTAAATCACACGAATAAAAAATTACATTATTTTCGAAATGGGAATTTCACATCATGTGTATGATCAGAATAAAGAGATACTAGTCAAACACGGATAACACAAAAAAAGAAGCTTCATTTAATATTTATGCAAACATTGACATTAAACCAGATGGTTCATGATTTTCGTAATCATCACTAAAAGCTGATATGTACTGTTGTATAATAGGTTTCTCATCAATATTAGCTGATTTTTCAAGCATCTTTAATTCCCACCTCATTTTCATACGAAATAATTCATCTTCTGTCATATCTGGAATCATATCCAACATTCTCTCATCACAAAATATAACAGCTTCTCTGAACTTCGCCTTTTTTGATAATGGACCTTCAATATTTATAAATTTTTTTAAACTCTCTCTCTTATTCATTCCCATAATGCTATCAAATTTGCTTCCCTGTTCTAAAACAAAACATTTGATTATACTTAATAATGCCTTGCCACGGTCATCAATTACTGCAGTTACAATGAAATATTGCTCAACTGGATTTTCAACTTTGGTTATGAAAAAGATAGTCCACTTTTCGTTGCAATCTGTCAATATGACCAATATATCTAACGCAACGTCTGCATTTGCGATAAGTAATTCTCCTTTAGCTTGATATTCTTCTAATTTTGATCCTTGGAGTGATTTCTTTGTTTCTACATAGACGCATCCTGTTAGACTTGGGCAAATGCAAATATCAGTTCCACCCTGTAATATAGTACAAGCTTTATTTAATGTTACTTCTTTTTTTGTAGATTTATGGACATCTTCGATGGAATAGTATTCTCCTAAATTTAATACATTTTTAAACCAGTTTTTGACATCCTGCATTTGTTTGTCTTCATCTTTGCCCATATCCCAATTGAATCCATCACACTCTATAGCTGAAGAGTCTGGAAAATCTCTGACACTAAGCTTTATATAGAAAAAAAAAATGAAATGAGAAGGAACTCATATTAGGAAATCACTGCTTTAATAGGCATTATTGTACATACTTGCATGTTTTCAAAACCCATAGTTTTCTCAATTTTGTTCATCTTGGTACCACTCAGCTTTGATACACTTATCACTTCAAATTGTTTTTCTTTCATTGCTTTATTCACTGCATTCTCTACAATCTCCTGCAAACTCCTATGATCTATAAAAAAGAGAAATATAAGATTAAGTAAAGCGCTATTAATTGATACTCTGGCATCAGAATAGAACCTTACCTTGTGTTTGATATGTTTGATCAGCAATATTAATAAGAAATATAAGAAGTGAAATAAGAGACAATATTGCAGTTATAGTTGTCAGATGTAAAATTGTTATGAAAATAAGTAAATTTTGCAATACTAAACAGTTCCTCAAATCTAAGTATTCCTAGTGTGATAATTTTTTTACACTTCTAAGTTTTTATTGTGATAAATTATTAGATCATTATTTACCTTCTTCGCCTTTAAGAGTTTTAATCAAATATGTGATTGATTTTGCTGGTCCTTGAGTTAAGCCATCATGTATAAGTTCTGCTTCATTTAAATGTAGGAATGCTTGACCAGCAACCTTATTCTTTCTGATTATTTCAATATCCTCCTCATCAAGGTCAAGATCTTCTTTCTTCTCTTGCAAAAAATTTATAACATCTCCTTGCTTCCACTTTTTGATTTCTTCAATGCTTGGAGTTGTTGAAGTAACCTCTCTGTCTTTCGTAGATGAGACAACACTGGTGTGCTCAATACTCTCCATAGAAACTATTATGTTGATAAAAATGAGTTGCTTCTTTACAAAGAATATTCGCACTATGCCACTTTACCTGTAGATGGTTCTCTTGGGAAAGTCGATGTTTTTCCCTTGGATTTTCCTTCCACTTTCAAAGATGTACCAACATTGATAGTTTGAATGCCCTTGGGAGCTATTTTTGTCAAGAGAAATGAGTGGGATATCTAACAAAATTGCTCATATACATTTACTTACCTGTTAGAGGTTTTTTCTTTCTTGTCATTTTAAGGATAGCACAGAATGATATAAATGGGAGGTCACACAATTAAATTTTATTACACAATTGGATTTTACATTTTATATAAATAGACGCAGTAACTGTCATCAAGATCCTTCCAAAACTTTTGAGATTACATAGTCAATATCATCCATACTTAATCTTGATATGGATGACACTGTAAAAGTTCTGATTTGGTTTATTTTTTCTTTACCAATGGCATCAAAAGTTTATAGATTTTTTGAGCTTTTTTGGTTCTTTTACAAAGAGCTTCCTTTGTAATTATTGTAGGGATTTGATCATGAAGTTCTCTGCTAAGTATAGCACTAGATGCACTTCCTGAGGCTTGCTTTTCTATATTAATATTAATATGTGAAAATAAATCCGAAAATTTGTGTCACATGAAGGTTTTTTTTAAAATATCTCGTTATTTTTATCCCTTAAACGTACAGGGATTTTTGGTCCAAATTTGTGTAGATCTTCTGAGTAAATTCAATCCCTCTTTAAATTAAAATATTACTAACAAACCCTGAATATTTTTGCATTTTCAATTAACATATATTCTGAAAAAATTATTTTAAAAAAATTGTACATACTGGAATTATATTTAAGGTTATTTATAAATAAAGAAACATTTGTATTTTTTTTAAAAAATTTTTTTTTGAAAAGTTCACTATATGGAAAATTTTAATTATTGATACTAGACCTATGGTTCTTAGACATAAATCATGTGATTTTATCTGCTTAACAAGTTCCATTAGTAGACTTTGCATACTAGCTAATAATTTTAGTGAAGGAGATATAGGTTTATATAACTGTATCGCAAATTTTTACTATCAAAAAATGTGATCTGCAAGAAAAACATTTTACACATATTTATTTCCTTACCTGTTATATGTAACCCCAAATAAATTTTTTTAATAGAAGTATGGGGTATGGGGTTTTGAATATCATTTTCTAAATAAGAAAAGCTGTGGTGGTACTCCAGGAAAATGTCTATTTTTTTGTAATTTATGATCGCAATTCCAAATTCCGTGCTAATTAGCACGGAATTTCGTTTAAGGGATAACTTTTTTTTTAATTAAATAACTCAAAAAAAACTTTCTATTACATTATTTTTCATGTCTAGAATATTGCAAAAA